AATTTTTAAAAAAATATTTTAAAATTGATTGATTTCACAAAAACAGATTTCTGGCTTTTCTTGAATATTGGAAAGCGTTTATAACACTGAACCCATGACCCCACTTGGCAACCATTGGCTGGGGCTGAGCAGCCACTCATCTGCCCCTGCCCCCCTCCTACTGTGGCAGCTGGCTCTGCCGCTCCTCGCCCCCGGCCTCTGTGAGCACTGGAGGTTGTACCCATGGATGGCTGGTGCTGTGACAGCTCAGTGCTGAGGGAACCCTGAGGGAACCCTGGGATTGAATTCTAGGTTCCTGGAGAATAGCAGGCGAATGCTCACTTTCCTGAGGGCCCTGCAGGCAATGGCGCACATGATTGGTGCTCAGCAGAAGGAGGGTGCCAGAAACACACTCACAGGTGGCTGGGACCTGGAAGTGGAAACCAGTGACCCAGTGAGAGCGTAAACAGTATGAATCAGTCAGGGGCCTCCAGGGGAACACAATGTGTATGTGCGTGTGTTTGTGTGTGTGTAAGAGGTTTATTTTAAGGAACTGGCTCACACGATTGTGAGGACAGGCAAGTTGGGAGTCTGTAGGTCAGGCCAGGGGCTGGAAACACAGGCAGGAGTTGATGCTGCAGTCTTGAGGCAGTGTGTCTTCATTGCCAAGAAACCTGTTTGCTCTTAAGGCCTTCAACTGATTTTATGAGGCCCACCCACATTATGGAGAGTCATCTCCTTTATTTAAAATCAACTGAGTGTAGCCCTAGCCAGTCTGGCTCAGTGGTTAGAGTGTTGGCCCGCGGACTGAAGGGTCCCAGGTTCGGTTCCTGCCAAGGGGCACGTACATACCTCGGTTGCAGGTTCCATCCCCGCCCCGGTCAGGGCACATGCGGGAGGCAACCAATCGATGTGTCTCTTTCACACAGTCTCGCTCTCTCTCTCTAAAAAGCAATGGAAAAAATATCCTCAGGTGAGGGTTAAAAAAAAAAATAGCTGGGTACTATCACCTAGCCACGTTAGCACATGAAACTAAGTCATGCAGGGATAAGAGCCAAGGGTGGAGGAAGAGAGCCAGGAGACCTCGCAGTTTCCCAGTAGGTGGGGAGGAGGGGGAGCTGGGCAGCTGTGATGGGAGGAGCCCTGGGAGAAGTCCTGCAGGGGGGGATTGCAGGGGGGATTGCGGTGCGTGGGACGCCGCCAGGGGGTGACATCAGCTGGCTCTTTCTAGATATTTGGTAATGAAGGGGGTAAACAGGAGCAAGCAAGAAGGGTTTCCACTATTAGTGGGTTTCCAGCAGTGGCCTGCACCTCTGCAGGAGGAGGAGGCAGGAGGAGGGAGGTTAAGCGATGAAGTGGAGCAGGGGTGGGGCAGCAATGGGACTTCCCGTGGCCGAGACCTCTCTCAGCAACAGGGCCTTGGAGAAAGCACCGCCTCCACGGGGCGCCCCAGGCCGTGGGGTGAGGCCTAGAGAGCAGACAAGGACAGGAAAGTGTTCCAGAAAAGGCCCCTTCTACCTGGAATACTTCTTTCCTTTTTTCTTTTAAAATATACCTTTATTGATTTCAGAGAGAGGAAGGGAGAGGGAGAGGGAGAGAAACATCCATGATGAGAGAGTCATTGACTGGCTGCCTCCTGCACGCCCCCGACTGGGGATCGACCCTGCAACCCGGGCATGTGCCCTGACCGGGAACCTCGGTCTCCTGGTTCATAGGTCGATGCTCAACCGCTGAGCCGCGCCCGGCCGGGCGGGAATACTTTTTCCAGTCCTCTCCTCACCTCCTTCAGGCTGGCTCCCAGCTGCACCTGGAACCCTGCCCCCATTGTTCTGGGCTTCCCGTCTGGGGAGGACCCGCGTAGATGACCTGGGGCTGCCTCCCGCTCCCGCCTCTGCTGCGGGCCCCTCCTGGCCTGCTCAGCACTGTCCCCGGCTCTTCCTGGCCTCCACTGGCTCCTGGACAACAGGCAGCTTGAGTACCAGGAAAGCCGGGCACGCCCAAGTGCACACCCGTAACTGCCCGAATTTAATGTTTAGTTTTCCAATAGCAACAGAGTATATAACATGGCAAATTCGGACCATCCCTGCACTTCTTTTGCGGTGTACTATTGTTTTTATTTTACATATGGGGGGAGCCACAATTTTGTCCACGCTTAGGGCCTCTAAGGATTAAGCCAGCCCTGCCCCTCGCCCCTCCACAGAGCTCAGAGGAAGCGGTGGCACAGCCCAGAAACGGGGAGTGCTGCTCAGGAAGGGCACGCAGACACACAAAGGGTGTGTGCGCCTGCTTGGGCTTTATTTTTTATTTTTTTTTTTTGTGCAGCCTCAAAGTTCAAGACATGCTGAAACACGGGAAGAAAGGTATTTGCCGGAGTGACTCAGACATGTTCCAGCATTTTCCCACAGGCTCCTGCACGTCCCAAAATAACCACAACCCTGGATCCTGTCCCTTGGCGTGTGATTACATTTGTATAATGTTACAGAACAGTGGGCGACGCGGCCACGCTCACATGGGAGTTGCAGGAGCGCACAGCCCAGAATGGAGACCACACTGCACGGCTGGGCTGGGAACCGAGAGCACACAGACCACAACCGAAGTGCAGACTCACCAGGATCATCCACCGCCACGAGGGGCCGTGGTCAATGCCCACCTTTCATGGGTGGGGAGAAAAAGGCTGGAGAGAGGAAACAACTTGCCCAAACTTACACATCTGGGGGTTACAAGAGAAAGCTGGTGGGAGAGCTGGCCCGAAAGTCTTGTCAACTCATGTTGATATTTGTTTCTGGATAAACGTCAGCTTAGCCTTGACATCATTAAGATCTTAAGTCAAGGCAACTCTAAGGGCCTCCTATCCAGCCAGGATGCCTATGTGCCCAGGTCTGGACAGCAAGCAATAAGGTGTCGGAGTGGACCTACCCTCACGATTTCCAGTTATTTAGGAAGCGAGTCAAGATGTTAAAACAATTGGGCTCTGGCAAATAGATCAAAGGCTGGTGAAAGTTTCGGGGAATTAAAATCTGAGGGTACTGTCAAGGAGGGGAGGTTTCACAAAAAGGTGGGCGAGGTCTAGAAAAGGGGGGAATGCAAGTGCAGACATTGAAGGTGGGAAGGGGCAGGAGGAGGGATGCGGACACTGAGGGAGGGAGAGGTGCCCTAGAAAGCCTTGGAAACCGAACCCAGGGATCTGGGCTGCCGGCATTAAGGCTGCAAGTGACTTTTGGTATAGACACCGTTACTTACTAGTTCCAAATCCTTTGCTTTATCTGGGAGATAGGAATAATCTCATAGGATTTGGACACATTATATAAAATAAACAAGTGCCCTGACTTAGAAGAGGTTCCTCTTGGCGACCGTAGCCCAGTTAGTGCTAAAAAAGATGGTGAGACTAACATGGCCTTTGACGTCTCTTGGGTGTGAATTCAAATCCTGCCCCTGCTCCTGGCTCTGTGGGTGTGAGCACATCACTTCCTGTTTCCTCACCCAGTGCACAGGGATGTTAAAAGCTAACGTCTGTCACGTGCCAGGCACCACTGCCACAGCTTTGCTTGTCTGAATTCATACATTTACCCCCCATTTACAACGGAAGAAACCATCATCCTGGAGCTGTGCTTTGAATCCAGAAGTTCCAATTCAAATCTGTATTCTAAACCACATTCTCGCAAAGGGCATTGGGGGGTTTGGCTTATTTAATCCTCCCACAGTGCTAGGCAGGTCCCACAGTGGGTATGTCCCCTGACTCTCAGAGGGGCAAAATCAGTGACATTAGTAAGAGCCTTGCAGCCAGCTCTACACCCAGCCTGTTGCCCCCACGCAAAGCCCAGAGACCAACAGAGGAGAGAGTAACTCCTGCCCTGATATCCACACACCATCTAATTTGGATGATTGCAACTATTCTAACTACATTAAAGGGCTAACCTACTGATGTTTAGTGATAAAAATAACATCAACCTAATTCAGTAAGCACTCAAGAAGCCTTACTGCTGAGGTCCAGTGGGAAGAGATGCCCAACTCACAAAAAGAAATGGTCACATTATTTATCTTTGATCCATTTTAGAAATGGTCCAGTAGGCTCCTCCCATTTACATGGCTGAGTTTCTGGAATCAGCGATGTCTTTAGCAGTCAGCTTGTACTCCCCAAATGAGTTCACCCAGGAATGATGTTGGCAGGTTCCCACGGGAATAACTTCAACCTTGCTCAGAAAGCTCAGAGTGGCAAGTATACCAGTGTGTATTTTGGTGCGGCTTGGTCAGGCAGGCACCAATATTAAACTCAATAGAGTCATGAGGAATTCAGCTCGCGCCTCTTGAGTCAGCGTGCTCCCCAGGAGTTCCAGGATCTCGGGTCCATCTCTCCCTTCCTTTACATTTTCAGGTTTACTTCATAAGCATTTAAGAAAAAATCTAGCGCATCTCCACATGCAGGGGCTGTGGTCCTTCCCAAGCTCTTAGAAGACACTGGCACAGAAAGATCTTTTTCTAACCAGTGGCTTCAAAGTACATCTGATCCCTAACCCCGGAGGCTTCTAGGAACCCAATCTGGGAAGATAAACCTGGTTCCAAGCTGGTTTGGTGACTCACAGAGGTGTCAGATTAAGATGACCCCAAGACTCTCAGAGAACACAGTCCCAACCCCCCATGACCTGGACTCCAAGGAACACTTTGGCCAGCCTCAGGCAATTCTGGGAACTGGTTTCCCTGTGCAACTTGGTGGGGCCTGCAGATTGCCTACAGTCGGGCGGGCAGACATGCCGCCCAGCGGCACCTTGGCTGGGGCGGCCTGAAGAGGTGTGGTACGCACCTCCCCATCACCTGAGTTCACAGGCCCACGTCTGCCCAGGATGCAGTGTAACCCGAGACTGAAAAATGACCAAGACTCACTTTCTCACGAGCTGGGCCCGCAGAGACGGTCTGAGTCCCAGAGCAGGCTTGGAAGTGCGTCTGCCATTTATTTTTACCGAGGCCGGCGAGAGACCATCTTGATGCTGCCACTCTCTTCAAAGCTTTACAAACCACAAAAAACACTGAGTCATAATATTACTTTATTTTCCTTTTTTAAAATGTAACATTAAAGTCATCCAACATACAGATATTCCTATGGCTCCTTACACATACTAGTCTATCTAGAGTTAAGTATTTTAGCTAGGAGATGAAGAAAATCCTCCCATTAAAATGGCAACATTTCTGAAAAAATGGGTTTCATATTTGTGATGGGAAACTGACTCCCCACCTATTCCCCCAAAACTCCTCCAGTCCAGAGCTACAGGAAGACAGCTCACAACCATGGCTAACATGGGGTGCCCACGCAGAGAGGGCCCCAAAACAAGTGATATTAAACTTTTGAAACAAGCAACTTCTTTATTGTACAGCATAAGAATTCTGAAGAAAAGCATTTTCCTTTACCCTTTCACTGTTTTGCCTCACCCTGATTACTGCGTACCAAGCGGCTATGAATAGTAAAAACCAACTGAAAGTCCCTGAAATGCATGCAACTTAGAATTTCCTAACGCACACAATCAGTTCTGTCTCCGGGTCGGCTTTTTATTGAGGCTGTGGCGCTGCTGGGTCACCAGCTGTGTCTGTCGTGCTGCTGGCGTCTGCAGTGGCTGCTGCTTTGGCATCTGGCTGCTGGGCCTCCGTTTTGGGATCCTCCCCGCTCGCGGCACTTTTCTTACTCTTGTCTGCTGCCACGGCGCCCATGATCTCCTGCAGTGGCTGATCGCTGTCGAGGGAGCTGGGCTGGAGTTCATAAACCTGGACTTGACCCGGGACATCTATTGCTTTCTGTTCAAGTTTTTCCAGGATGGTCTGAACCTTCCTGACTCCATCTCTCCTGGCCTGACGGACATCAGCTCGTCCTTCAGGATCTACCGAATCCAGAGCCAGCAGCTCTTTGGTCAAATACTCTTCTATCATCAGGTACTTTTTGTCCGTCTTCTTACCTTCGAAGTTGTCCACAGCCTGCTCCAGCCCTTGCACCTTCTGCAGGATAGCTTCCACTTTCAGCACGCCTGGGTGTTTTTGGGGTGCCTCAGCTTCTCCTGGCTTTTGGGGTGTGGCTTCTGCTGGGGCAGGGCTGGGGGCTGCCCTCTCTTCTGCAGCCACATTCTTGGGGGATGAGGGGACAGCAGAAGGGGCAGGGCTGGGAGAGGGGCCAGGAACCGGAGCAGAAGGAACCTTTACTTCCACCTTCTCAGAAGGAGGTGGGGGCTTCTGAGAAACAGGCTGAGATTCCACCTCCTTTCGGATCACTTGAATTGGGATGTGTCCCGGAGCGAGATCTGGGCCTGGTTTGCTTTCTGGTTTGTTTTCAGGTTGGGGAGTAAACGAAGATTCTCGATGGGTCATGGGCTGCTGAGAAGAGGCAAGGACACAAAGATATTTTTTAATAACTGGCTAAGAGTCACAGGATATTGTTTGTAGCTAGTACAATACTGATTAGAAAGAAAACTGGGAAGTGGCTTTTTAAAAAACTTTAACAGTATACAGATTTCCAAAATCAATAAGAGCTGTTACAAAATAAAAATGTACTAATTGTGTGTGATCAAACCATTTGTCATGCTTCCATTCATCACCTTCATCTACTTATTAGTCTTCTGTTACCTCACTGGCTTTTTCTGTAGATGGCATTCTTAGGACAATTAAAAAACCAATATAATTTTCAATAATGAAAATACTAAATAAAAACCTCATGCTGACTGCTGAGCTAGTTTAGCTCAAAGCAAAGTCCTGGGTGACTCAGACTCTCAGGTGATGCAGCTGTGGAGGGATAACTGCCACTTGTCCCCTTCCTTAAACTGTGTGGACAGTCCCTCTCTGTTCAGGATGTCACTTGCCCACCTATTTCAGAAAAGTTATGATTTCTTTTTTTTTTAAGTCTATGACAGCCTAGTGGTTTCTGCCCAGACTGATATATTTTTTGAGAATAAGCAAGATGCCCAAAATAGTTAACCCTGTAAGAATTTTGCTGGGCACATTTGTGCCAGAGCTGCCACTCAGCTGTGCATCGCTACACTGACTTCTGGAAGCTAGAGGCATATTTTTTTTAATGAGCTACGCTTAAACCAAAATATTCTGGCTCTTCCACATTTAGGTGAGCAAGACAAGCTGCCTGGAAGACTGGAGACAAGGCTGTGGCTAGGGTGTGGAGGTGGTCCTACATTTCTGTTGATGAACAGTCATTTCCAGGATCTCACTTCCCCCCAGTGTGTAATCTAGGAGGGCTGATGGGGGACACAGAGAACTTGCCCAGAGCTCCTCGCCCGAGGACACGCTGCTGTAGCCTGTGTGGCGACACCAACTTTCATACCTGAGGCCTGTTGACCACAGTGTGCACACGCAGGGGCGACGGGGAGTGCACCGGCGTGCTGCTTCTGGCTGGAGAGCTCTCCCGGCTAGATGCACCCAGGACAGGCGACCGGAACGGGGATGCTGCCCGCAGGGGCCGGGGCTCCCCGTCATCCCCCTGGACCTTGTGGTACACGGGCTGGTGGGGGAGGTAGTCGCCCTGCTGAGCTGGGTAGTGGGTCTTCTGGGCTTGGTGGAAGGAGGGCTGCGCTGCAGGCCGGGCCACGTGCTGCTCGTGTATCACCGGGATCGGGATGTAGCCCCGGGGCAGCTGGTGGCTGCCCAGGCTGCTCCTGCCGGAGGGCAGGCTGGCCGAGGAGGACGAGGACGAGCAGTCCGAGGTGGCTGGAGACTGGGAGCGCTGCAAGGCACAAAGGGCAGAGGTGTGGTCCCAGGAAGGACTCTGTGCCTGGCACTCTGACCCCGCCTCCATTGTGTGCTCAGGGCAGCAGGTTTACCAGGACCTCCCCCCCGTAGTGAGCCTCTCTGCTTTCAAACTGCAGTGTTTGGGCTGGGAGCTCTGCAGTCAAGGGGCCTGGGTTCAAATTCCCACCAGCCCAGGCGCATTCCGAGCCTTGTTCACAATATGGAAGGGGGTATCCTCTCCCTCACTGGGCTGGCCTGAAGGTTAAGTAAAACAGTCTGTGTATGTGCTTGAGCACAAGTCCCACAAACAAGAAGTGGTCAATACACCGTGTTTGTTATTACATGTCACTTCATTTCCTTTTTCCGGTTAACCCTTTCCCTGCTAATCCACAGAGAACTCTACTGGGCGCAGGGAGCTGCGTCCCCTGTGTGGTCCGAGGCAGGCCAGGCCCCTTTCCTTCTATTTACTTAGAAAATCAGGAGGGCGCTTCCCCAGCTGGCTTCTAAGGGTCCTGCTAGCTCAAACGTGTTAAAATTTTTCTGACTGATGTGTCATTTTTTATTTTTATAGCAAAAACATTAGAAGTATAGGCACTGTTTCTCCAAGAAATGTAAAGAGCCTCCCAGTGTTCCACAGTAACTGTGGCTTTTTACCCCCAAGCAGACAGTGAAGCCAAACATCCCAAAAAGAGCCGGGGGAGGCAATCCCAACCCTGGGTGTAGACAGGGCGTGAGAATTTGTGCTCAAGACTGTGCCAGTGGATACATGGCTGGTCCGCAGACAGGAAAACCAAGAGGGCTTACTGCTCAGAAACCCTACGGGGGTCCACTGGCCCTCAAATCTTGGTTAAGAACAGATTAAGAACTGTTCTTTAGACATTGTCACACTGAGGTATTGGCTTCAGGCATAAAACCCTATCATAAAGCAGCTGCCTTCCCGACTCCTCACTTTAGATTTCCATTTGAACTGTGGGACACTGTGAGGGCAGCTATGCTGTCTTATTTTCATATTGCTATAGCTCCAAGCAGTTAATACTTATTGGTAAATACTGAACTTAACAAACTAGCAAATAGTATCTCTGTTTCTGAACTAGAAAGGCTGAGGAAAGCAGAAGCATCAGATTAGGAGCCAGATGGCCAGGCTCCTATCCTAGAAATGAAGCTTACCCTTCATGCATCTGGACCAAGCTCTTCACGGTTCTGAGGCGCAATCCCTTAAACTACAAAAATAAGCCACGGTCCCTGCCCACCTGAAACACACCTGTAAGACACTGGCGGACAATGTGCAGCTGTTGAGCTGGCTTTGCTGGGTGACCTCTGATGCTGCAGGCCAGGCCCAGATGCCCTGCATTTTGTCAGGTGCCAGCCCCAGGGCGCTGGCAGTCTGAAGCCAGCCTAAGCAGCACAAGGCTCCCAGGTCGCCCTCACAGGCCTCTCAAAGAGCCAGGCCTCTCCTTACCTCAGGTCTGTGGGAGGCTGGGGGCTGGGCTGCCGCAGCTGTTCCCGCCTGTCCACACTGTTTATCTGGCTGAGTGGCTTCCGCCACACCCTGCAGAGGTGACTGGGACCTCTGAGGAGCTGCGGCTGCCTCGGTTCGGAATCGCTGGGTCCCAGGCTGAGGAGCAGCAAAGAAAGGGTGCGGCAGACGGCTCTCGGCGCCTTCGTGGAGGACAGGAATGGCGATGTAGCCTGGTCGGAGCTGCGGGTAGATAACGTGGCCTTCCCTAGCGGGCAGCAGCCTGGGGCCCTCCCGGGAAGGGCCATTTGCAGAGGAAGGAGTTTCCTAAAATAAAAGGAGAAACACAGACGGGTTAGAAACTGGGAAGGAAACACCTTTGAAGAGGAAAAGGCATGGTGCCAAGTGCTCCCATTTTCTACAGTAATCCTGGGCCCCCAGCATCAGCCAGCTTGGCTGGGCACAGGGAGCACAGCTGTCCCCACTTCTGCCAGACCCCCCCTCCCTACAGAGGCTGCTATCTGGCCAGCAGTTTAAGAACTAGAGACATCAAAAGAAATCATATAAGCCAATATATCTGCTGAGCACAAGAGAGGTCTCCATGTCCCACAGTGGTAAGACAGGTTTCTTTTCTGGGTGACAACCAGGCAGCACTGATGTAGGAGAGCCACTGTCTCCCAAATCTTCAAGGACCCGGATCAGGAGTGAGGAGGGATTAATCCCAGCTCACTAAGTCACAGCCAGCTCTCTGCTTCCTCAAGGGTCCTCCCATTTCCTAACAATCCCGAGCTGTGTTGGTCCCAGATGCAGGCCACAGCTTGGAAATCTTTGCAGAGAAGGGGTGGCGGGGGCGCTGCCTCCTCTGGAACATTTTAGGAACAAGCTGGGAGAAAGGGAGATACACAACGAACACAGCAGCAGCACAGAATGAGAACAAAACCCAGGGATTAAATGTGCTGGGTTTCTGATGCCAACAAAGCCTGCTTGGCGAGGAGTGGCTGGGGTCCCTCCATGTCCTCTCATGAAGTTCTCTCTTCAGCGGCATGGCTATTTTGGGACCCTTGAGAGGGCCAAGTTCCAGATGTACCACAGAGAGATCTTGTTTCAGACGACAAGGCTGGCCAGGCACTCACCGGGCAATGTCATTTCTCACCAAGCAGACGCTGGGCAACCACAGCCAGGGAGCCCCCCGGCTTTGGGTCTTGACTATCCCCTGAGCATTAGAAGGTCCTTTTACACAGGGTGGGCTGTGGATCTGTGCCACTTACACACATCCACATGGATCAACTATTAAGGAGAGTGATCCCTACTTAAGGAGGCATCTCTGATCCATGAACAAATGCCAAAGGCTGAGACTCTAGGAGCCTGCAGGGTGTATAATTCCCACCGTGACAAACTCAGTTGCCAATAAGGGAAGCCAAGGGCTGATTTGAATTTTGAGTGATGGGCCACTGCAATTTTGCCATGTTTCTATATTTGTGTGCACCAGGTGGCTGACCCTGGAATTTAGCCCTTTCAAACCCATCAACTGCTTCCCTCCTGCTGAGCCCCAGCCCAGAGGGCCTCCGGTGCACAGGAGAGGCAAGGGTGTCTTAGTGTCCTTGGGGACACCAACAAACGGGCACTCTCAGATTAGAATACCCACGTGCTCAGGGCAGCCGCATTATTTTAGCCTGCTCAACTCTCAGGTCATCCAAGAGCAGGGAGTGGGTCCAAGCCTCACATTCAAAACTGAATTCCTGCCGTGAGACTGGCACCAAAAGGAGGAGGCAAGAAGTACCAAGAAACCCTGACTCCGCTCACTGGGCACCCTTCCTCCAGGCTCAAATCGGGGCCTGAACAAATCCTGGGAGGTCTCTGTTGGCTGCCCAGCACTGCTTCCTCCTGGATGCCACAAAAGCCTCATGCCATCTGCACACTCCACGGAGCTGAGCAGTTAGCAAGATCTCATCCACTGGCTACCTACCTCCAGCTGAACATCCTGCTACTGAGGTGCTGGGCACGACGGGTGACCAAACCAGCAAGCACGATCCCTGCCAACTAGGGGCTTATACAAGGCAGTTTAGCCCTGGCCGGTGTAGCTCAGTTGGCTGGACATCACCCCATTCACCGGGAGGTAGCTGGCTCGATTCCCAGTCACGGGCGCGTGCCCAGGTTGCGAGCTCGATCCCTGGTGGGGGCCTGCAGGAGGCAGCGGACGGATGTCGCGCTCTCACATTCATGTTTCTCTTTCTCCCTCTCCCTTCCTCGCTCTCTCAACCAATAAACTATTCTTAAAGAAAAAAAAGACAGTTTAAGGCTGCATGAAACAAATGGGAAGTGAACTACCTAGAAAGCATCGGAGGCCATGTGGGTGGGGTAACGCACGGGCTTTTTAGTTAGGATGACACTCTCCTAGATAGGCTGCAAGTTCATTCTGACCTCCATTAGTGATAGTTCCGGGATAATTTTCTTAACCCCTGTGAGCCTTACTCCCCTTATGCAGAAACTTGAGCTAGCAATACCCATTTCACAGGACCGCTGTGAGGTTTTATGAGAGCAGTCAAAAGGGATGGGATGACCAGGAGGCAGAAACACGTGAGATCCCTCCCTAAATTGGCATGTGATTATGCTACTCAGACCTCCAAATGTCGAAGGGATCAAAACTAAAGAACGAAGTTACCAGATGGAGACTGGAGTCAGAATGGTGGCTACCACCAGAGGAAATGGTAAGGAGTGGAGAGTCCTGAAAGAAGCTTCCGAGGGAATGGAAATGTACTCTGTCTTTTTCTGGATAGTGGAAAATGGGTGCACACCTACGTACAAATCTATCAAACTATGAACTTCACTGGAACCCCCACATTGCCCATTCTCTGCCACATTCCACCTACACCATCTTGTTTTCACAGGTGAGGGCTGCCAACCCTGCCCATCCCGCACAGCCAGCAGTTAGCTGTGCCTCTAACTCAGACCCTCCCAGGGCCCAGAAACCTTAGGCCTGGATGAGGCTTGGCTCCCCCTGGGGGAAGCCCCTGGATCCCGCCTGCCAAGAGCTGTGCATTGCATGCATCTCACTGAATACATCTGTACCTCAATGAAAGGGGAAAGGGAAGGAGGAGGGAGGGGATTGGGAGGGAGGAGTACTCTGCCTGCCCAGGGACCAAGGGACCGTGGCTGCAGACTGCCTTCCAGAGCCAGTATTCAATGGGGGCCTTGGAAGAAGTGCCCCGCTGGGGTCAGTGGAGGAGAGCATGTGGTCACTGTAGACAGGGGTGGGGTGTCAGGGTAGCAGTAGCAAAGGGGGTGTCCCCTGAAGGTAAGTACTGAGTGAAGAAGATAAGGCTGGAGAGAGGCCGTGTCCACTGTCCTGTGAGCTGCTGACAAGACACCTCACCGAGCCGGGAGAAAACGAAAGGAGAAACCAGGACGCATCGGGAAACGAGAAGTCAGGGAGGACAGCAAAGACGTGAGAGCAAAGCTGGGACGAGGGCATGAAAGGAAGGGTGACCCAGGAGGAAGAGGGAGGGAAGGGGCCAAGACTCAAGTTCTAAGCCTGGGGTTGACTGAAAAACGGTGGGGTCCACTGGCCCAGGTGGAAGGCAGGGATGGTTGCCGGCGGCCTGGAGGCTACTTCTGCAGTCCTGAGGCCTGCACTCCTGGTTCCATTAACAAAAAACCATGGTGACAGAAGGAGCCTTGATTTGGGGTAGTGAACACACAATACAATATGCAGATAATGTGTTATAGAATTGTACAACTGAAATCCATGTTGTTTTATTAACCAATGTCACCCCAATAAATTCAATTAAAAACAAACAAACAAAAAACCCACCCATCTCTTCATTAGCCTCAAGTCTAAAAGGCAGTGGCTGCCTTTCCACGAAGGTGGGGTTTTGTTTAGAAAAACAATGCTTTAGGTAAATTAATAAACCACCATCAGTTTTACAGAATAGACAACTAAACACTTCTACATGGATATATAATTTAAACCAAGAATGAAACTCTCACCTATAATAATGTCTGTACCCGGAACTCTGACGTCAACACTTAACGCTTCTACTCTATCGTCAGAGCCTGGTCAACAGCAAGTGCTTCAGTTTTTAGAACTAAAAAACACCGCCAGAAACAGTTCATTCAGTTGCCCTTTCTATCTTCTATGGTGTTTTCATCACAATCGAGTAAAAAGGGATATATTTTTAAAATAAAAAAAGTTTTGAAATGTGTAATAATTATGATCCTCCTAGAACCTGATGAAACAAGTCTCTTCAGTCCCCTAAGAACTGTTCTCAAGTTCAAGCACAAGTCCAGAAAAAGCCTATTGGTTACACCAGAAGCTTTCACAGAAGACTCACAATCTGCCCCTCTCTGATTTCAATGGAGACCTCACCACCCTGGGGTTCTTCTGTGTGATCATGTGATGGGGACTGGGCATGATCATAGTGACCAAGCAGACGAGGCGGATCCTTGCCTCATCATGACCTGCCTGTAGCTTAAGGAGTAATGATGGCATCACAGGAAATATTTTCTTTCTTTCTTTTATTAATCCTTGCCCGAGGATAGGTTTTGAGAGGGGAGGAGGGGGGAGAGGGAGACACTGATATGAGAAAAACACTGATTGGCTGCCTTCAATACATGCTCTGACTGGGAATCGAACCGGCAACCTTCTGGTGTACAGGATGATGCTCCAACCAACTGAGCCACCTGACCAGCGCAAGGATTATTTCCCAGTGAAGCTCAGCTCACTATCCTTATCTCTGGTCAAAGACAAGGAATACATACATACAAAACCCAATTAAGAAATAACTGCTTCTCTCACTGCATTAATCTATAAAATGAATTGGTTACAGCATCTTTCTCGCTTGCACAGTTAAAATCCTCTGAGGCCTGTCTCAGAAAACACCAAGCAACTCCACGAGAGAGCCAGGATAAAAAGCAGGAAAAATTACCCCAGATGAGCCAAAATCTGCCCTACTGAGTACAAGATATTGTTATGAGAGAAGCCTGGTTCAGGTTCTGAGCTTGGGTGAGCCCTTGGGTTGGCACAAGTCTTGTTTGCTTAACAGGACATCTAAACTTTGTTACTTGTTTTTAATCACAATGTGGGTGCTAGGGGACAGCTAGGAGATGTGGAAGGAGATTGCACTTGGTCCTAATCCCGGCTCTGCCCTAAATAAGTGTGCTATGTAAGCAGCTCACATCCCTTCTCTGGACCTTAGTTTCCACAGCTGTAAAATGTAAAGCAGTGGTTCTCAGACTCTGGGGGGGGCTTCAGGAGCACCCAGGAAATGTGAAACAACGCAGGCACTACGGCCAGCCCCAACAAAGTCTGATTCAATAGGTGTGTGGGA